AACAAAAATTGGCACATGTTAAACAACAATTTATTTCCTTTCACCAAAATCCATATCGCTTAGCTGATAAATTTCAAAAAATGCTTCAAAAATAAGAAGAAGGATTTACAGTAACTGTTCAACTTGGTGTTTTTTTTAAAAGTTATCATCTCGCAAAATAAATTGTCAAAAAACTATTCTGTCCATGTGAGATTTTCATTTGCAATAGTTTGTCAAGATGATATATCCACGATATTTTGGCTGAAGAACTATATCCCGAAACCATCTGCTATAGACTGTCATAAAATTGACACCAATAGAGCGTATTTAACCCTTGGTTCTTAAAAAAGGTAAAGTTAAAAGAAACTGCCATTAATCGCAACTGCCACTACTCAACTTTTTTAAAAATGCAACAACTAATAGTTTTTATACTTTATAAGACAATGGTAGGTAAGTAGATAAGACAGCTCAAATTAATAACAATATGATAGGACTGCTTCGCACATAAAACGCTTCCAGTCTCATTTGTTAATAAAAATGCCATCTCGTACTGAGTAGGCAAAACAGTAGGAAAAATGCCCGTATCATGATCTAACGTTGAATAATCACTATGTCTTCTAAGCAACTTCCACGCAGCAACCAGGAGGAACTAAAAAAAATTAACTTGAAGAGTATAACTCGTAGCTACCTTTCGCACACCTTTACATATTCGTTTAAAAAGTTAGCAATTGGAAATCTACTTGGTGCCTAGGCGATAGCAGTTGGCGCAACTGCTCACAATACAGAAGTATCCCTAAACGGGAATTAAAAGTTTAATGAGGATTTCTATGTCGTTACCTATGGCAAAATATTCATAAATTTCCAGCGGTCCACGAAAAACTAAGAAAACATCACAGAATGGGAGTAACTGAAAGAAGATAAGTTGTAGCAACCCTCAGGATAACTTCTACATACTTCTTTTTAAATTTTTGCTAAGTACAAATTCTTTCTTTTTTTTCTTTAGCTTTTGTAGTTGGCACAATCTAGTACAAATAGGGAAACATCCCCTTTTATTTGCCTCATAAAATTAGAGGAGATATCTATAACATGAACTGTGACAGAATGATCGCCACGTTTTGGCAACTTGTGGTATCGGAGAAACTAAAAAAAAAAAAGAAAAAGTTCACCGAAAGGGACCAACTCGAAAGATATAAATCGTAACCATTTGGCAAACATCCATGTTTTTTTTCTTTAGATTGCAAGTTTATATCTATTTGGTAGCTTGGCAATTGCAGTTAGTGCGACAGATTATGATACAGAAATATCCCCTAAAATTAGTGAAACAGAAAAATATACATTATAATATTGATGTAGATGTGTTAATAAGAAAGAAAAAACATTGGTATTTACATATTTAGGAAATCTGGGAGCACATCAGCACTACTAATTTAACTTTCACCTATGAAGCCCGTGCTCTTTGTTATTTTTATATATATATATTACGATCATCGTTCCATTTTGTTTCTTTTTTGTAGTATACTGAATAAATAGTTAGTTTAACTTAAAGATGTCATGTTCAGTCAATACTTGCATAACTCAATAATTTCTACATATAAATCAAGCAAATATTCTTTTCTACTCTGGAAGATTTGTTTATCATCACTTGTAATAATCAACAGGTCTTGGTAACTTCCAGTGGCTATCATCACACTGAAAACAAAAACAAGGGAAAAAACTGAAAACATGAGAAGAAACTCAAAGGGTATATCTTGTAGCCACTACCCCCTGGCATACCTCTACAGGTTTTCTTTATGTAAATGTATGCAAGTTTGAAATCCACAATAGTAGGTGCAACGAGTCTCAGAAGGAAAATATCCCCGTTACTCATATTTTAGTGTGTAAAGTCGACCATCTATCTATTATATATAATTCTCTTACGTGGCTCCCAAATTTTGGCTGTATTTCTTTTCCACCGGTGGCAACGTTTGCTTTGTTTTGTTTACATTTTGATAACACCAAAGCATTCTGCCTTTTAATGATGTGTTTCTGATCTAATATATATAATTCTCTTACGTGGCTCCCAAATTTTGGCTGAAGTACTTTGTACAGCTAAATAAGATTCTTTTCACAACACTTAAATATTTACTTTATTTTCTTCATATATCAGTCGGCAAAGAATTCTGTTAGGTTAAAAAACATTTCGCCCAAAAAATAACGAATTCTAAAAGAAATAAAAATAAACAACTTAAAAAATAAAAATGCTGTTGCCAGCCATAGAATTTTTTGAAAGTTAACTTAGCAACATAAATCAAAATGACATAGAAGCGCAACTAGATCAAAATTATGATACCTGAGCGCTTGACGTAACAAATCCTTCAATTCTAAAAGTGTTGTATCGCCAAATGCCCAAATTAACAATTGTGTTCTTAAAGAAATTCTATAAAAAGTTTTAAATAAACAACCTACTTCTACAACTGCTTCTTGAAGAACTTGGCTCATTGATTAAAAATATTGTTTTAATTTTACAGTACTAACTTTACTTCTACTTTCATTATTGCTATGACCCTCTTTCATTACATTTTACAACTTCATGCTAAATTTGAGGACTTTAAGTTGTTTTGTGGTTGAATACTGACATTTAGAAATGTGTACATAAAAAAAAAAATATTTAGAGGTTAAGAGTTGCCTCAGAAAAATTTGAATTGTTGACATTGAACTTAACAATGGAAACAATCGTTTTTGTGAAAAATTGAATTGTATTGTTGACATCAAAACTAAAAATATTGTGTTTCAACTTAACAATACTACCTTAATTTATACTTTAGAATTGCCTCGGAGAAATTTGAATTGTTAGCAATGACTTAAACAAAAAGTTTTATTTTAACTGACAAATACTATATTATAATTTTAACTTTTTCTATGACTATACTCATTTTCTTACTCTTTTCTTTGTTTTTTATACATTTTATATTTTTGTGATAAAATAAAAAACTTATAGTTGTTCTGCTTCTGAACACTGATGAAAACACAAAATGATGGGCTTCATCAACAATCAAAAATATATACATTTATTTTACAAATTCCATATTATTAGGGTGGCGCCCTTCAGAGAATTAAAAATACAAAATTATCTTCATCAAAGCCGATGCTTTACATCCGGCGTTCAGTGGCAGACTACTATTTCATATTGTTTTACAACACATGGCTTTAGCCCTCTGGTGGGAAAGACTTTAAAACAAAACTTACAACAGTTACTTTTCTCAACAACTGAAATTTAGAATAGTGTGATTAAGAAAAATATGTGAACTGTTTGCAATTTCAAATTAATATTGAAATGTACAGGTTTAGAATTTTCTACAGTGAAAAGTTTTCGGAATTTATTATTTCAAAAAAGTATGCAAAAGCTAGACGTTAAGAACGTATCCAATGAGCGAGCAAAGCGATCCGAAATGAACTGCGAAAGCAGTTCCGGGGGTTGGCGAGCGCCAGCGAGCAGGGGGCGAAGCCTCCTAGTGATTAATAATATTTAAGTATTATCTGCAGAATAATGTTTGATATTAAAGCTTTAAAACGGACATTTTTTTTTACATAAGATCGCAACTAGTTTAACTCAGTATTTCAAAATTAATATTCCTTCATTAAGCTTTGGGGCCATCAGAATACTTTTAAAAAAATCGTGAATTTATTAAACATATCTTAACTGCACAGCAATCGTTTATAAGGGCCTGTATTTCCTCTCTTTACATTTTATGCTCAGTAAATGAGAATCAGCAAATTCTCTTTCCTTTTTCCGAAATCGTTACGTTTTGTCTTAGTTTGTTAAACTTTGCAAAGGAGAGGCTTAGAAAATTTGCTTATATTTCAAGCAGAATTAACTACAATAATCATTTACTTTTTTCGATAGTGAAGCATTATAATTGATTGAGTATAGTAATAATTGATTAAATAGTAATAATTGAATTAAGTAATAAAAGAACTTATCATTGAATTTGTCGTATATATTCACAACCTGATATAACAGGCGTGCAGCAACAAAATATAAATAAAAGCTAAGTAGCGTCGTCTAGTGTAGGGGTAGCAATCCTTGTGTAGAAGTTGGGCCCACGGAAAAGGAGTAAAAAGTTGAAACTCAGTATCGTTTAATCCACTTGTAAAACGAAAACTCAATTAATTGAAAGCAATGTGAAACATTACTTTCGAGCCTATGTGGTGGATCAATTTTAATTTTTCATCTATTTTCATTTTTCTTCTTATTTTTCTTATTATTATTCTAATTAAACCTGGAATAAAATGCTGCATTGTAGAATTACTTTATGTAATATTTTTAAAAAGTTAAATAAAACTGTCAAGCATTTTTTAAAAAATTATTACTATTTTACCTCATGACTTAAAGGAAAATGGAATTATATTGTTATGCTGTGTTATTTTCATTCCAGAGATATAATAGTCTTTTAACTAGTATAATATTATTTGAATAGCTAGTACATTACAAAAAACCGATTATAATGCTTCTTATAATTTTTATGAATTCACGAATTCATAAAAATTGCTGTTTTTCGTTCGGGGAATGTAAAATTATTACAACAATAATTTATTATTAAAAGAAAAACATGAATAAATATTATAAATTAAGATCACTGCTTCGGAAGACATACAAGATTATTTAAAATACGTGATTATTTATTTTAAAATGTTGTTTGGTTGAATAACACAGAGGCTAATGCCGGCAAATAAAGTATTTATTAAAACATAATATGAGGAAACAATAGTTCGCACACACAGTGCTACACATCTGAATCAACCAACAACTAGTCAGCTTCTTCAACAAATATATATCTATTTCCCCTATCGGGAAGTCGTTGTATTACATCACGCAACTCGCGCAACTTATTTGAGAAGGAGAGGAAAAATGAGATTTTATTTACATATTAACAACACTCCCCCAGCGAATAAATACACATTTTTCCACTAAATATAAAACATAAATATACTAAATTTCTCATACAACTTAAACTTATTAACAATTAATCAATTAAATTTATTTACGACACAGTCCAAGTGAGCTTGTCAAAAGTTACAGCTTTAGTTAGGAAATCTGCGATTATTTCGTCCGTTTGCACATACTCTACTTTAATAATTTTGCCAATTATATCCTTTACGTAATGAAGCTTCAAATTTATATGTCTCGTTCTAGAAGATGATTTTGCACTATTCAACCAATCAATTGCAGATTGATTGTCAGACGAAATGGTCACAGGTTTCTTTACAAATATAGAACAATACAATTCTTTCAATAAAATTAATATCCACATTAGTTCTCTACAGACACCACCTAAAGAAACAAGTTCCGTTTCACAAGTAGATAGAGCAACTGTTTTTTGTTTATTGCTCTTCCATAAAATTAAAGAATCACCTAACATTACAATTTCTCCTGAAAATGATTTCCCATTTTCAGCATTTCCCCAGCTTGAATCGGCATGAGCATTCAAAAGTCCTGATTTGTTACTAAAAAATAATTTCTTATCCTTTGTACCATTGAGATATTTTAACACTCTTTTAGCTAAATTAAAATGTCGTTTCTCAGGTTTATGATAAAATTGAGATAAGTAGCTCATGACAAATGCTAAGTCAGGTCGTGTTCTGTTCGAGAGATATAAAAGTTCCCCTATTAATTCTTGATATTGTGTTTGGTTAACCATTTCGTTTGAACAATTAAAACTCCTATCCTCACCTCTTACGATTGGTGTTTTTGCACATTTAGAATCAAACATACCATGTTTCTACAGTAAATAGTTTATATATTCAGTTTGAGACAAAGTTACGCCCTTCTCACTTTTATTTATTTCTATACCTAGAAATTTATTCTCTTTACTTTCTTTCACTTCAAATATCCGAGATAATTTTCCCACTATATCATTATACATTTGTAGATCTGAATAAATAACTATTAAGTCATCGACGTATATTCCAATATAAAAATACTTAGAATTCTCTATTCTAGTGAAAATACAATTATCCTAAGCTAGCTGTTTTAAACCAAGCTTTTCTAATTCCCGTTTAAGATGTAAATGCCAATTTCGATCTAATTGGGGTAATCCGTAAAGACTACGTTTTAACTTGCATACTTTATTTTCCCCATACAAATGTTTAAAACCTGGGGGAATAGTCATATATACAGTTTCTTCTAAATTACTATAAAGATATGCAGTTTTGATATCTAAAAATTTTACTTCTAAATTTAATTTGGCAGATAATGCTAACAACAAACGCAAAGATTCGGTACTTAATACGGGTGAATAAGACTCGAAATAATCACGCTTTTTTACTTGATTAAAACCTGCTGCTACTAACCTAGCTTTGTATTTATTTTCTTTCATAGTAAAAACCCATTTACTCTTAACTAATTTTACATTTTCAGGTTTATCAACTAGATCCCAAACATCGTGTTCGTGAATGGAATTTAATTCTTCATTCATTGCTTTTTCCCATTTTAACCAATTTTTATCACGTTTAGCTTCATCAAAATTACCCGGAATATTAGTTTCTAAGTTTGAACTTGCTTTTTCCTTTATTCTATCTGATCGACGTACTCCTAGCTCTAGTAACCTGTTTTCGTCTTCAATTATTCGTTGTTCATTTAATTCCCTAATTTTTTCTTTTGTTGCACCTACTGGACGACCGCGAGTTTTAGTTTCACTTAAATCTCGGGTATCTTTCAAATCCAGTGGAAATTCAAAACTTGTATTTTGGTCTTCTACGTTAGTTTGGATATTAAAAAATTCATCTATGTCATTAGATTTATCCTCACTAAACAAATTACTACTACCTAATAATTTCTCATTAAATTTTACTGAACGCTCTTCGATTACTTTATTTCTTTCAGGGTCGTAAATACGATAAGCTCGTCTTTCATTCGAATATCCCAACATAATACCTTTTTTTACCTGGAATAGAAAGTTTGTGTCTTAAAGCTTTAGGAACGTAATAATATACTGTAGATCCAAAAACGCGTAGATATTTATTGTTCTGCTTCTTATTAAAAAATAATTCTTTTGGAACTTCAGTTTTACCTTTACGAGGAGTTAGGTTAGTAACATGCGTTGCATAGGCTATTGCTTCAGCCCAAAAATGTAAAGGAAGTTTACTATCATAGATTAATGTTCTAGCTCTATCTAACAAAACTCTATTAGCTCGTTCAGCTTTACCCAAACTTTCTGGGTTGTACGGCACAGATTTTTCATGTGTAATTCCGCATTCAGTGAAATAAAGCTCAAGATCTTTGTTTACAAACTCAAGACCATTATCACTACGGAATTTCTTAATTTTCTTATTTATTAAGTTTTCAAATTTCAACTTAAAACTTACAATTTTATCAAATACTTCGGTTTTGTTCTTAAGAAAATAAGTAAAATACATGGCAAAAAAATCATCTACTAATATTAAAATATATCTCGAATTACCTAAAGACTTAACTGGGAATGGCCCACACAAATCATCATGTATTAATTCTAAAATTGTTGAACTTTGAGGAGTTAAAATACTAGAATGAGGTTTTCTGGTAATCTTAGAAATATCACATGATTCACAAGACAATTCATTATCAATTTTTAAATTCAACATTTTACACATTTTACGCATATAATCAGCATTTAAATGACACAATCTTTTATGCCAAATTACATTCATTTCAGCGTTATTTTTAACTTTGTTACACTCAGAAAGACATACCTCGTTATTAACATTAGGTTTTAGCTTAACTTCCAATTTTTTATTCACATTTAAAGCTTTCAGAACTACGCGTCCATTAGGAGCAATAATTAATACTGAGTTTGAATGTGATTTTACATTAAACCCCAAATCCATTAAACATGTAACTGACAGTAAATTATGACGTAATTCTGGTACATACAATACATTACTAATTATAATTCTTGCATTATTACTTAGTGAAATAGCTTTAACAGTTCCGGTTCCTTTAGTATCTAATGTAAAAGTCTTACCTGCCTGGTATATTTTACTGTCGCAAGCTTCTATAGATTCGAACCAGCGTTCACCCTTGCACATATGAGACGTGGCTCCGCTATCCAGGATCCAACATTCGTCCACTTGTCAGCTGAAACTAAGGCGTAATCATCTGGAGTAGCACTTTCGGATACCAATGTCTCATGAAAATTTGGTTTTCGGCGACCTTTTACTCTGCGTGTCGATGGTTTGTAGCCTCTATCTGTTCCCACTCTTTGATGTTTCGAATAACAATCCCTTGCTATATGTCCTGGTCGTCTACAGGCGTAGCAAATTTTCCTATGTAAACTCTTCTTCTGAGTAGCATATGCGGATTCCAAATTTCTATGTCCACGGGATTTCTGTAGTAAATCCTTTTCTTCTTCCCTTAAGACTTCAAGTATTTCTTCTATCGATTTTTCTCGTTGCGTTTTTAAAACTTGCTTTATGCGCTCATATTTTCCAGCTAGACCTCTGACCGTGTTGAACACTAATTCTCTGTCAGATATTTTCAGTCCCAAGGAAGCACACTTAGTCGAAAATTCTTTAGCTCGAGCTATATAATCGTTTACGGCTTCTGAATCCAGCTTTTTCTAAGCTCTTAAGTTCGGCACCCGCATCAATCTTTCTATCTTCCTCAAGCCCAGTGTAGGTAGTTTTAATTCTTGTCCACAAAGCTTTTGCATTCTTTTCTTCTGCATATTGCAAAGCTTGTTCGCCTGATAGTGACAATTTCAAGTATGATACGGCATCTTGGTTAGTAGTTTCCCAAACTTGCCATTTACCAGGGTCAGTTGGAGCTTCCTCTGTCACTGCCGACATTAGTTTCTTGAGGTTCAAAACTGCTTCCATTTTCATGGCCCAAAGATGATAATTAGTTCCAGTCAACTTCTGAAATCCAAAAGCTAAGTCTTTCTCCATGATGATCGTAAACCACGCTCTGCTACCACTGTTGTTTGGTTGAATAACACAGAGGCTAATGCCGGCAAATAAAGTATTTATTAAATCATAATATGAGGAAACAATAGTTCGCACACACAGTGCTACACATCTGAATCAACCAACAACTAGCCAGCTTCTTCAACAAATATATATCTATTTCCCCTATCGGGAAGTCGTTGTATTACATCACGCAACTCGCGCAACTTATTTCAGAAGGAGAGGAAAAATGAGATTTTATTTGCATATTAACAACATAAAATTTTGCACTTTTTTGCTTCTTCTCACCAGTATCTTCATTTGCAATCAAAGACTTGATCTGTAACATTTGGGGGATTGTAGTATAGTAATTTAACTAAATGAGATATTAATGAGATGTATTTTGAAGTTGTAAAACTAAAAATATAAATTCATTTTTTTGTGCGTCATATAGGCTGATCAATGAACCATAAATTGTAAGATTTCCATTTAATCCGAAATGAGAAAAAGAAAGATATTGTAGAATACATTCTACGTTAGGTCTTCGATCAAATCAAAAAGATTTAATCTAACTACGTATCAACATGGTATCAAGATGTACATTTATTTATCTATGCTTAATTTTAATTATTATATCATGATTACTGGTTATTTCTAAAATTTCGTGCTTATTTTTTGTTTTTCTCGTCTGCGTGGGTGAAGATTTTCATACATTAATTGCCATGCATGAAGGCATGGTCTCATGATTTAGGTATTATTTTTATTTTTTAGTTGCTAGTGATGACCGTGTTCAAAATAATAGTTTGAACAAATTCATAAAATATTTATTACATAAAAAAATTCACATTTAAATAAAAAGCACATTTTAAATCATGATTTAATTTGAAAAAAAAAAAAAAAAGAAAAATGTAATATATTGGATTTGAAAACTTTATAACAAAAATGGCAAAAAAGGGAGTCGAGTGTAAACATTCCTCGTGGATCTAGTTATTTTCAGATAATATATAAAAAATTTCATATTTATCGTTAGCTGGAAGAATCCATTTTCGTTAAACGTTCCGTTTCCCTCTTCAGTGCTTCAGATAAATAAAGTAAATTTTTTTGAGTCGGTGTTTTCGCTTGTTGATATTTGCCTACATTTTAAAAGCAATGTATGTATACACTAAAAAGATTTTATTGAAATTGTATTCCCAGATAACACAGTGTAAACAGATGACGTGTCCACGAATTAATGAAGGTAGGAGTTTTAGTTACGTCGCACTAGAGCTGCACATCAGGCTAATCATCCATTTAGACCTGAATCTGAAGGGGTAGGAAATTTTCTCCAGATCCCTGTACATTTGGTACAGCAATACAACCGACCACAGGCCCATCGATTCCACAGATATTCGTCATATATTGCATATATACATATATTGCATGTACTCGGTGGTGTCGAGGATCAAGTACCGGCCCCGTCAAGGACTAGAATGGTTCTTTAAGACCCTATCAACCCGGAACTAAGCTTAAATGAAGAAGTCTTGGACAAAAAACATAGAAAAAATTAGTCACACTAATGTCAAAATATGAAAAGACAGATATTTAATTCCTCTTTTTTTTTTAAAGGTGGGTTTGTTTTTTTAGGGTATATGTAATAGCATTGCAAAATTTTGGTCTTAACTTCAATTTTTGAGGAACTTTCTCTTTCCCTAACTTAAATCTTTTTCTTCCTTATTTATATGATCTAAATAATTAAAAACAATTTATTTAACGTCATTAACTATTTAAAACCATCCAAGCA